ACAAAATTCCAAGGGCACAAAAGGAACCTCCCACTTGCCTTCAGGACAATCCCTGATCCACCCAGAAAAGACAGCTTCCGTCAACAGCAGTGACTTTGAGGGTAAGTCCCAAATTGAGGACTAGGCCGCATTGATATTTACTCTTAGCTGAATAGGTTGATGAGAAGGGATCATTCCCATTCAGCAGCCACTGTTATATTCCAAAGCACACTGGAGGGACCCCAGGTGTCTAAGACCCAACCCCCTGATTCTCCTAGCTAGGAATTGTATGAGGAGAAGCACGTCTGGGAGGAAAGGACCCACATCCACACTGTCTTCCTAAGCCCCTGTGGCATCCTGTTAGACATACAATGTTCGTGTTTGTGTGATACCTATTTTAGCCACTAGACAGTAAGTTCCAGGAGGGCAGGGTTCACATTGGTTTTGTTCCCTGTTGATCCCTCAAACCCAGCCAGAGGCATGGCAAGTAAACATTGCTAGAAAATGCTTATGGAAGGAGCCCAGTTCAGTTGAGGACAAAGTGCCTCCACGCTATAGGTGGACAGATGCCTGACCCCAGAACAGTGGCACAGCCCAGGAAGGATAATGCAGCCAGGTTGCTGGGCACTGATGCTGTGCCCAGGTGTCTCATAAACCTGCCCTGCAAACAAGATCTCACACAATGTCCAGTTTCTATAAAATGTCAAAGGCTCTACTTGAGTTGTGGGTGGGAAACCAGGAGTCCTGCTAGCTTGCCCACTGCCCCCTCCCCCCAGGGCTGAGGCCTATAGAGGGGAAGGGACTTTCTATACGTGCAGTGGGGAATGACATTAGTATCAGAGCCAGGATTCACTTTTCATGTCACTGAGCTTTGCCAGACCCTCTATCGTCCTTGAAACCACCTGTGTAATACATGGCTAAACCTCCTGAAGAAACTCCTCCCTCTCCCCTTTCCCCGTATTCTTGGGCTAAAATAACACAACAACTCTGAGAATGACATGAAGGCTATGTTGGCCAATTGGATGAAAGTATTTCAAATTGTATATGGAAACAACACACTGTACCCCATGATCGTATTAATGTACACATCTATGATTTAATAAAAAAAAGAAAAGAAAAGAAACTCCTCCATATCACAAAGAATTCCAAGTCCGAGGCTGGGGTCCACCTGGACTCCTGCAGGACTCAGGAATCTGAAAAATCATCTGTGATGGTCCTGCAAGGACCAGGACAGTTCATACAACTCTAACTCAAAAAACTTTATCCAGAATAATTTTTTCCTTTCTTCTTTCAGATCTCTACACCAAAGCTTCCCAAAGCAATTTTTACAAGAGAAACCTAAACCGCTACTCCCAGGAGCGCTGGCCATTCCAGACTTGCTTCATTGGGAGACCCTGAGGGTTCTAGCTAATGCCACCCTTGTGGCTCGCCTGGTACACACAGCGGCTAAAGACCCTCCCTGAGGAGAAGGAAGAGGTGGGGGAAGAGGAAGGAAGGGGAGGAGGAGGATGAGCAGAAGTGAGGACAGGAGTCATGAAGACTGATTCAGAAACTCCCCTAGAGGAGGAGAAGACGTCTGAGCCATCTCTGTGCCACCAGTAAGAGTCACTCCAGCTCCTGAGAAAGCCACTGTGAGAGGGACTTCCTCGAATTAAACTCCTTGGTCACATCAGAAGCCTGTGTCCCTCCTTTTTTCCCCTCCCATTTACCAGGGACTGTCTTTTCCAAATAATGTTTTATCATTTTTTAAATATATCACCATGTATAATTAACCTTAAAAACTTTTTTTAACCTTCTGGATAGCTTTTGAATTTCAAGCTTACATTAAAGTTGCAAGAATAATTTGAACAACTCCCATTTCCCTTTTACCCAGATTCACTAGTTGTCTCCATTTTCTCCCATTGGTTTCGTCATTTCTTTTTCCCCTCCCTTTTTTCCTGAACTGTGTGCGAGTGTGTTGTGCAGATTATGCCCCTTTAACCCTAAACATTGCAATATGTATTTCCTAAGTATATTCTTACATAGCTACAGTGCAGTTTTTAAAAGCAATAAATTCAGCATTGATACAATACTTTTCAAATGTCATCAATTGTCCCCAAAATGTCTGATAGCTAATTTTTTGCCCAGTCCAGAATCTAGTCTAAGGTCATGAATTGGATGTAGTTGTCCTATGCCTCTAGTCTCCTTGAAGCTGGAATAGTTCTGCCTTCATCATTCATGAGCTTCCCACTCCTGGCGCATAAAAGCTTGCTCGTTTTATAAACGTCCTGCCATTTGGGTTGATCTGATGTTTCATTATGGTTAAACTCGTATTTTCTATGTGGGGCAGGAACATCCCAGAAGCCGGGTGGTGTCTCTGTCTGTGCACCATGTCGGGAGACACCTGATGCAGGTGGGTCCCATTCTGAGTGATGGCAGCCTCGGTGCAGTCTGCTGATGACTCTCTCCACTGCCAAGTTGTTATTTTCTCCTTTATAACTAACATGAAATTTGGGAGTGGGGTATCCTGTTCCTCATTACACTTTCACCCACTAACAGAAGCATTTATAAGTGATTCTTGCCAGAATCAATTGTTACCATAATATTTGCCAAAGGGTGGTTTTTCTAACTCTACCATTCCTTCTACATTTTTTGTTTTTTGCCCCCTGGGTAGAGTGCTATGTCATCCTAGCTCACAGCCATCTCAAACTTCTGGGCTCAAGCCATCCTCCTGCCTCAGCCTCACCAGTACCTGGGACTATAGGCACCTGCCACCATGCCTGGCTAGTTTTTCTATTTTTAGTAGAGACAGGGTCTGGCTCTTGCTTAGGCTGGTCTCAAACTCCTGAGCTCAAGCAATCTTCCCATCTCAGCCTCCTAGAGTGCCAGGATTAACGGGCGTGAGCCACCTCCCCCAGCTCCCTCTACATTTATTAACTAATCCTCTACTATAAGGAAAAGCTTTCCTTCTTCCCCTTTATTTATTTATATGTTTCTTTATACAAATTTAGATTCATGAAATGTTTCTTTTATTAAATTGGCTATAATCCATTCCTATCATTTATTTTGATACTCAAAATGTCTCAGCTGTGACCAGTGGGAACCCCCTTGAAGCTCACTTCTGTATTTTGACATGTCCTCATCATTTTTTAGTACTTGTTTTTTGGCACACAAGAATCCCGACACCCATATTTACCCTAGAATTTTAGCCCTTGAGTCAACCATTTCTTTAAGGAGCTTTGGTCCTTCTTAGGGAAGAATTGTATTTAGAAACCAAGATGTTGGCACTAGGTATGTTCACTGCTCCTGGGTGTCAATGTTTTTAGGCCTCTTCGGGGAACAGAGCTAGGAAATACACACACACACACACACACACACACACAGATACATTATACAGTAGAACTTCCACAGTCGCCCACCTCCCTACACTGACTACCTCCTTAAGTTGACCTAATTTTCACAGACCAGACACACACCACATGTATCATCAGTACAGTAGCCTAGTCCTCGTGTTGACCACCTCCGTATGTTGACCAGTTTATTACAGTCCCGTGGGGGGTCAACTTACAGAGGTTCTGCCGTATGTGTACACGTGCACACACTCGCACAGAACTAGGGAGAGTAATAAGAAAAAGCAGCAGTTCATACTGATCAATCCAACACCACAGGATGTATGCTAGTTTTTCTTCTTTGTGTTTGTAATTCCTTTCTCCATGAAAGACCTGGACCCTGTTATCCTCTGTATATTTGCCCAATTCTGAAATACACAGAAATCAGTTTCAGAATAGCTACAGATCTTATTATTTACTGACATAAGAGTTATAGCCCAAAACAGCCCTCAAAACTTTTTTTTGAGTTACTTTCTTTTTTCCCCTCCATCACATTAGTGATTTGAAATAAGTTGGGTCCCTTGGCTTCAGTTTGTGTTTAATTTTAGGATTCCCAGCTGGGCACGGTGGCTCATGCCTGTTATTCTAGCACTCTGGGAATGCCTGAGCTCACAGGTTCAAGACCAGCCTGAGCCAGAGCCAGACCTCTTGTCTAAAAAAAAGCCAGCCCAACAGCTACTTGGGAGGCTGAGGCAAGAGAATCGCTTAAGCCCAAGAGTTTGAGGTTGCTGTGAGCTGTGACACCATAGTACTCTACTAAGGGCAACAAAGTGAGACTCTGTCTCAAAAAAATAAAATAAAATAAAATACAAAATAATTTTAGGATTCCCCCCATCTTTGTTGATTTACCTTTTTTCAGTATATAAACATTAACCTGGTTACAAAATTCAAAACAATACAAAAAGTTACCCGCACAGAAATGTCAGTCTCCCACTGAACCCTTCCACCATGTTCTCACACACAATGGTTTCTGGTTTATTCTTCCTGTTTCATTTTACAAAAATAAGCAAATACCTAAATAGTTTTATTTCCCCTTCTTTCTTACACAAGAGGTAGCCTACTATCGAAACCACTTTCTACTTTGTCTGAATTCACAGGGATCTTCATTCTTTACACGCATTGCTTAGTTCCGCACTGTGCAGCTGGGCATAGTTTATCCAACCACTCTGCTATTGGTGGGTGTTCAGATTATTTTCAGTATTTTGCAATTAACAGGTAAGGCTACAATGAATAACCCTGGGTACACATACTTGGTGTTTGGATAGTGTCCCTTTAGCTTTAATTCCTAAACGTGAACTTTTGAGTCAAACAGAAAAAGCTTTGCAAGATGTTGCCAAATTTTCTTCTATAAGAGTTCTTCATGGTATCCGAGAGTTCCTGTTTCCCCATGCGTTCAGCAACTTTTTAACCTCTGCCAATCTGATAGGTGAGAAATGGTAGATAATTTTGGCTTTAACTTATATCTGCTACCATGATTAAAAGTTAGTATCTTTCCATATGTTTAAGGGCTGTTTTCATGTGATTATGAATTATCTGTTCATGTATTCTACTATTATTGTTTTCCCCTTAATTTGTAATTGTTCTTTATATATTAAGAATAGTAGCTCCTCAAAGTCAAATGTATTACTCTCCTATTATATCAGGATTTAGAGTTATCATTTGAATACCTTTCCCCACAGTTTATAGAGAAATTCACCCGTATTTCCTTCTTTGTTTGTATGGAACTATGTTTTTAATATCTATACCATTCTATTTAGCATTTATTACTAGTATTTAGGAAGTATGGATCTAACTTTACCCTTTTTCAAAATGATCCTATAGCCATTCTAGCACGTTTATTAAAGAGAATATCTTTGAGCCAACCATTGGAGATGAGACTTTCATTATCACATACCAGATTTTCACATGTGTTTGGGTATCTTTCTGAATGTTCTATTCCACTGGGGATTCTGTTGGTTTACTAGTACCATCTTGCATTTTTTAATGAAAATATTAGTATCTATTTAAAAAGCGATGGTATTTTCACTGTGATTGTGCTAAATCTATAAATTAACTTAGGGAACATTTTAAATGAGAAAGAGCTGACACAACTATGACACTGATTCTTCCTAGCCACATTTCATTTGTTCTACTTTTTTGTCCTTCAGGGCAATTTTAAAATATCCTTCATAATAATTTTGCAACCTTCTTATTAAATGTCTTCCTACTTTATCTTTTTTGTTGCTATTTTAAATGGAGTTTTAGCTGTCATTATTGCTGTAATTCGCTATTGCTTATGTATAATACTGCTGAGTCCAGCATGTTAATTTTATCCCTCGCTTCCCTTCTGAATTCATGTTTGAGTTAGTTTTGTCTTTGATCTCCTATGGCTTATCAGCAGTACTACTTACTATATCATCTGCAAGTAGAATTACTTTAGCTTCTTTCTGCTTTGTCTGATTTTTATGTCTCTAACTCATTTATCCAATTGCAATGAGGTTAATGCCACCAGTGACAACAGTTCAATGTTAAATAGCAAAGAAGCTGACATCTGTGCTTCATTCTCAATTTTAAAAGAAATAGCTCTAGTGTTTGTGCATTAAGTTAACAGATCCGTTTAGGACAGGACAAAGCTGAGGGGGGAGACATTATTTTATCATGTTAATAAAATATTCATTAATTTCCTCTTTTTTAATTTTATTAAGTCAAATACACTTAAATCATGAATACATTCATACATATGCAGGGTACAATGTGCTGATTTTTTTTTATACAGTCTTTTTTTATTTTTTGAGACACAGCCTCAAGCTGTCCCCCTGGGTAGAGTGTCATGGCTTCACTGCTCACAGCAATCTCCAACTCCTGGGCTCAAGCGAGTCTCCTGCCTCAGCCTCCCAAGTAGCTGGGACCACAGGCTCCCGCCACAATGCCCTGCTATTTTTTGGTTGCAGCCATTATTGTTGTTTGGTGGGCCCGGGCTGGATTTGAACCCGCCACCTTAGGTGTATGTGGCTGGCGCCTTAGCCACCTGAGCCACAGGTGCCAAGCCTTTTTTATACAGTCTTATGTGGTTACATCAAATCAATCTCC